TTGTACTGATGGCACCTCCACTATCGATGAGGGAGACACACAGGTTGTCCGCCGACCAGGTGATTCAGTTCATGGTAGGGCTGGAGACAGATTTTTTCCGCGCCGAGGGTGACTACGTAGCCTTTATTTAGACGCATCTGATGCCACCTTTGTCCGGTGTCCGAGGAGGAGAGGGAGCGAGGGCTCCAGCTGCGAGAGGGAGAGGCGGAGCGACTAGGTCTCGTAGGAGGAGAGGTCCTGAGGGGAGACAGGGGACTGCATGGCCCGTGTTGCCTGCTACTATGACATGCCGAGGGCGGGCTGGAGAGACTTATTAGATTCCCTTCGCTCCTCCTCCAGTTGGTCACGAGCTTGTCGGAGTTTACGGCTCGACCCCGATATGCGCTATACTTTTTCTTCTGTACAGTCATTCGATTTCATTTGATATCCCGCAGAATACTAATGACTTCAACATTTTTGTAGGCTCCCATTGAGTACACTCGTCAATCTTTGGAGATGACGGCTTCGGTGATGGGGATGCTGCAGACAAGCATGGACCTACTCAGTATTTACAGTATTCCGGTGAGTTCTTTCAAACTACAGTTCATGCCACACAGTCTTTTCTTAACACGCCATCATTTGCACAGTTGCACACTACACTAATCTGATACATTCCGCCCACACACCGCTCACGGTACACATTCACTGCAAATCATTCACTGCTCACAGCACATTATTCTTGGCATCTGATACATCTTGATTACTAATGCATTTTGGCGGATTGCCTTTTTCAGATTCCTTTCTTGACGCCAGGCCCATCCGGTGCCTCAGCAGGAGCAGGGGCGGGTCCTTCAGCACCTCCCCGAACAGCAAGGGGAGCGAGACGAGGGACTAGTTCACGGGGGCCTGCCCCAGATGATGGTGAGTCTGACGAGGAGGCATTGAGTCCGCGGTCAGAGTCGTCTCAGGATGGAGATGGAGTGGGGATGGTTCGAGTGCAGAGTCAAGTGTTGATGGTGGCAACGTTCCAGAGTCCTCTCAGTCAAGGAAGAGGATGAGGAGGACTTCTCAGTCTTGAGGCGGTTGGCGCCGATCCAGACATTTTGCTAATTCAGACGTTGTTCTTCTTTTGCTTTACCTTTTTTTTTACTAGTAGTTTTGCACATTGTACTGCGTTAGGCAGATTTATTTTCTTAAAACTATGCTCTTTTGTAAAAAGAATCTATGATGGAATGAAAATAGCTTTTTGTTGAAAAAGTGTTACATTTGTACATTTTATGCATCGCATCACTTTACACAACAATGTAAATGAGATTGAACTTTTGTTTTGAAACTAAATACTCGAATTGCACTAATCAGGTAGTGAACCGACAAACAATAAAACAACTCGATAAGCAAAACAAAGTCTTAACAAGTTTACAACTAGATAAGCAAGTTACGACAACTCGATAAATGAGAGAAAAATGATTACAACTTGATACAAAATCGAATACTAATACATCTTAAACGAGACGCAACAGAGTCCGACAGGACAAAAAAAACGAAACCTTAAAAGACACGAGTAACAGGAATTCTCTACAGCAAACAACTGGGTCTTCAACAAGAAGGTCAGTAAGAATGAGGGAGGTGCTGTCGACCATCGATGGAGTCCTACCGGCCATCAGTGTGCCACTGCCAGCCATCGATGGCAGACTCTCCGAAATGTTGACATCTGTCCTCCACTCACTACTTTATCTTCTATATGAGTTCCAGCTTCGAGATTCTCTTCATTTCAATTTAATTTTGCACCAAATGGAAGCATTTCTTGTCCAAAACCTCACAAATTGGATTGCCAACTTGGATGGCTCGGAAAAGCTGAGTTTCAGGGGCTTTGGTATAAATGCACTATTCACATTGAATCATACCCCGCTACGTTTTCCGTTCCTTCATGCCACAGCAAGATTTTGGAATCTGGTGACGCACGTCTTTAGCTTTGGCGGGCAAGAGATGTGTCTCGCTTTTGAAGACTTCCAAACTCTAATGGAATCCGAACGTGACAAAGAAATCTCGCCACAATTCCGCTTTGGCCACGCCCAAGCCTTGGGACGAATGTGCGACCTTACCTTGCATGACGCTCGGTCATTGATTCATGACAGCGAGCCGGATATTCCAAGCTTGATTTGTCTGTTTTCTGACTCCAGTGACCGTGGCAACCATCATTGGCAGGGTTATCGGCGGCATGCACTTTGCTTGTGTATGCTGTCTCATTTATCGCTGGCCCCAGGCTCTGGAGGGTTTAGCACTCGTTTGATTGAGGTCACCGAGGGCTTAAGGGAAGGCAAGAACTGCATTGCCATGACTTTAGCTGAGACATTGATGGGCTTGGACGCTTTTCATAGCCGGGAGACGGCTAGATTGGCGGGGAGCCCACTACTATTGCAGGTAATGTTTTCCACCGCATCTTGCATATGTTTCTCACATCGCTCGGCCCTCAAACTCGGTTTTTCGCTCAAAACCCTTTTCTTACTTTTCTCTCAATGTACACCTCTCTATTCTTTAATCTCTCATTTTTCATCCCTCCCTAGGTGTGGTTGATGGATAAATTGAAGGTTGTGGACTCATGTCCAGCATACTCAGCTCGCAGCTATTTCTTCTGGCGATGTCTAGTCGATGCTCCTGATGAGGGATGGTGGTGCGACTGGATGTGTAGCTTGTCCGCTACAAATATTGCTTGGCGCTGTCCTTGGCTTAATCTACTGGCAATAAGTTACAGCATGACCCGTCAGCCCAAGATTCAATTGATTGGCTTGACACACTGCGTGTTCTATTTTCCATTCCGATTCCGGCGTCAATTTGGCCATGATCAGACCTGTCTAGAAGATGGGATTGAATACCCTACTGTATTTCCGGTCCGAGGCGCATAGCTGGCTAGGAATGCCACAGCCTAGAGGACGAGAGAGCTTATGGCCCCCGCTCTGATTTTCAGTTGCATTCTTTCTGATGAGTGCTCAGTTTGGCTTGCCGAAGAGGCGCAGATTGGGCCTACTTTAGCATCAGAGGCTTCCACCAGCTCTGGGAGGGGACGCAGGAACACCTGACTATGCCTCGGATTTATTTTGCTTCATCAGTACTTTGAAGTTTTCTTTATGAATGTAATAAAAAGCAACTTTAATTTGTATTCAAGAGTAGGAGAACTCTGTATTGAAATCAATGAAATTGAAGGTTGTGGGTACTGAAAATCTTCCGTTTGGTCCAAAAATGGTCTAAGTTGTAAAAAGATTAATTTGAACGAAATCAACTTTTAATAAAACTTTTCAAAACCATTTTCGATATGGATCACAACTGGACACACCCGGAATCTATCGCTGAGATGTACAACCCCGGATCCTAGCAACTGAAAAGTTGCCCCTAGTCTGAATAGAACTGCGCTGGAGATCACAACCGAGCTCTTGAATGCTGAATAGACAAAGATGACCAAACATGATCACATAGACAAAGTGGATCGGGGAAGTGTTTATGGCTGGACTTCGGGATGAAGTTGCCTACGTATCCCAAAGATGGGCATCAAGCCTTACATAGTTCGGCTTGGGTTCACTCGAGTATTAACTCTTTCCTTTTGCGCTCTAACTTTTGCCAAGGCCGCCCTTTGTGGGTTTTCAACCTTGCGAGCTCAGTTTTTGTAATTTCAAATTTTTCATGCTCTAACTTTTGCCTAGGTCGCCCTTTCGGGTTTTCGGCCTAGCGAGCCACTCAGGGGTAATATTTCTTCAACTTGTCCATGTTGATCGATTGGGAGAACTCTAGGCCATCTAAGTCCATCAGAACGACAGCTCCACCTGACCAAATAGACTTGATGATGTAAGGGCCGGTCCAATTGGGTCTGAACTTGCCCCTAGGGTCGTGAATGGGAGCTCGGTTGGCTTTGAGCACTAAATCCCCTTCTTTCAAATTCTTGGACTTAACCTTCTTGTTGAAAGCCCTGAACATGGTACAGTGCTTTTAGCCTTCTCTCATCAAACAGCATGAGTTCTTCGAACCTGCTCTGTTGCCAATCTGCCTCAGCTATCTGACACTCAACCAATACTCGCAATGATGGAACCTCAACTTCGATAGGCAGAACGGCTTCCATCCCATAGACCAATGAATACGGAGTCGCCCCAGTAGAAGTTCTGATTGAAGTCCGATAGCCCCACAGAGCAAATGGCAGCTTATCTGGCCAGTCCCGGTAGGATTCGACCATCTTCTGCAGAATATGCTTGATGTTCTTGTTGGCGGCCTCAACTGCTCCGTTGGTCTGTGGCCGGTATGTAGATGACTTGTGACAAGCCACGTTGTACTTGTCCAACAAGTCAATCACTTCCTTCTTGAAGTGGGAACCATTATCTGAAATGATCTCATTCGGGACCCCGTAGCGACAGATGATGTTGTTCCTAATGAATTTGGCAACATGTGATGCCTTCAACACCGCATAAGATTGGGCTTCGACCCACTTCGTGAAATAGTCTATCGCGACCAGAATGAACTCATGCCCATTGGACCCCTTCGGAGTGACAACTCCAATCACATCTATCCCCCAGACTGAAAATGGCCATGATGAAGTCATGTTGTACAGCTTTGACGACGTCATCCACCAGAAGACCGTTGGCTTTTTGAATGGCTATATCAGCTGCTACATTACAATCGAACCTCACAAATCCGAACCTTGAATGTGACACTACTCGTCTTTTGGAAGGAATGAAAACATCCTTAACTATGCCAAATTTTGAGAAGAACTTGAACAATGATTTAGCATCCATTTTTGATGGTATATGATCCACAAAAACAGAGAAAAGACCATGCGATGCTTCCATGCCTTTCCCCCTTCCACCTTTCCACTGATTTACTACCGGAATCCATCCTCCTTTTCTTTGTTGCTCTATTTCTTCTAATATTAATTTTAGATAAAGTTTGACGATGACATGCTATGAGGGAAACTATATATGCAGCTAGGAATTGGGGAAAAATATTATCAATCACGCTTGCACCCACAGATTTTCTTTTGCACCCAATAAACAATCACGCTTTCTCATAAAAAGCAAGATCTTTTACAGACAAATAGTCACACTCACATCACGCTTTTTTTATTATAAAAACTGAGACTAAGAACTTAAGGTCACAGTTAAAAACTGTGACACAAAGCACACTTATCAAATTCACACACAAATTATTACATGGTTTATGATAAAGTCAATCCAGTTATACCACAGCAGAGAAAGCTATGCCAGCACAATCAACCCGACCAATGAGATGACACGTAATTTATACAAACCCAACAATAGATCAAATGTAATCCTAACAACTAAACAATTCTTCATATATAAGAACACCTTGTAGCCTTGGTTTCTTCATAAATAGGGCCAATATCTATTTCTCCAACTTCTTTATCAAGAAAAGAATACCCAATAAAGCACCTGCAATCAAATTTTGAAAATGAAAAACATTAAAGACTAGCTAAAAGCTATTACATTCAATATGCTTGTGTCTAATGGGTGCAATGTGAAAAATATTTTTTTGTTTTAAAAAATGTAATACATAGAAAATATTCTCCAATATTTAGTTAGAACTTTGAAATAATGGTTAATAATAGTCAAGGTGTGCTGTAGTGGTAGTGGTTGTGGTGGTGATGGTAGGATGTTGGGGAAGAAAGAAAGAAATAACTAGTAGAGACATATTGGTTAAAGAATTATTTGTGATAATTAAATCATCAAAATAAAGTTGAACAAGATAAACCTACATTAGAGAATAATATTAAACTCTTGTATTTACTATAAGATCAATTTATTTTGAGCGTACTTGGCCAATGAAATGAATTCTGTATATAGTAACATGAAAATTGCACTATATGAAAATAAAAATTGATGAATTCTGTCTAAACTTTGGCCAACCTAACAGTCTACTAATTTATCCTTGTTCATGATCCCCCAAGCAATTTTAGGAGAATTGGATAGACTATAGAGGAAATTTCTCTCTTTAATACAATTTTTTTTCTTTGCTGATAAATTAAAAAAACTATTTCTCTAATTCACACAAACGAATTCTATAAACAACCAAAGAACAAAAAATACAACTCTTTACTTCACACAATGAAATAGTTTAGCAGAGTGTTTAGATTTTGAAAATAAAATAGGGTGAATTATACTAATAGTCTCTACATTCTATCTCTTGCGTCATTTTAGATACACTTTTAATTGGCTCAATTTTTATCTTTAATTTTTTTTTTTGGTCAATTTGGTTACGTCATTAGGGTTTTTTTAAAAGGAGAATTATCATTGAGTTCGTTGATGTTAACTTACTAGGTTAATCTAGTTTACAATTTCACCCTAAAAGCTAGACACATGCCTTTCATTTGCACATTTTTCATTAAAAGATATGCTAGCAATTATAATCAATTGGACCAAATTAAGACAAAATCATAAATTCTGGATAAAAATCAAATTAGTTGAAATTATAGAGACTAAAATGACACAAGAACCTACATACAAGGATTATTAATATAATTTACCCAAGAAAATATTATTTGGAATGCCTCAAACGAAATATAATATATACACTAAAAATTAAAGGATATGAGCATAAACAGATATACTCACAGTATATTTTTTTTTTGATCGGCAAAAAAAACTTTATTGATGAACAAACAAGTACAATGAAACAAGTTAAATACATCAATAAAGGGCATGGGAGTGCAACGCATCACAATGAGCAAATTGATCCCAACTAGGTTGGCACCAAAGAGATCATCCTATCATTTGCTAGCACCCCATAGTTGGTGAGGGACCAACGAAAAGAAAAAACACATAACCAAGGTAGAACAGCCCCCTGAACAACCCAACCATTAGCAGCAGCATACAACAGGCGATCAGGCAACTCTAATAGGGACTAACTAGCTGAGTGTGTTTCTATAAGAAAACCAAAGAGATCAACAGCAGCCTTGTGATAAAACCAACTAGATCAGCAATAGCCTTGTGAAGACCAAATAGATACTCTGACCCCATATGAAGATATAACATACACTACTCCAAGACTTAGCATACATAGCAGACCCCACCAGACGTGATTAACAGCAGCAAAACAGTGGCAGTCCACTACAGCCCCAAACAGAAATGCTCTGACTGAACACCAAGGAACTAAGACATGCACACAGCAGCACAAAACTAAATTATCCATTTGACAGTAGCACCCAAGCATCACAGCATCCATTCAACACCAGAGAAACCCAGCACAATCCATTAGCCTTGAACCTGCAATGCCTTCAACCAGAGAAGAAACCAGCACAGATCAGCCTTGAACCTGCATTGCCTTTGAACTACACTCCTTGAATTCCCATGAACAATACTGCAGCCCTTTAGACATTCAGCAGATGCTCGGATCAACTTTCTCAGCAGCCTTGTTCTGCCCAGCAGAGCAAATCAGATTAGCAGCTGCAGGCTTAAACTACTCCAGAAGACTACAGACTGTCTACAAGCTAACAAACTCCACAGGACATCCATACAAGACCCAGATTTCAACACAAAGCAGCTCAGAACAGTTAAGAACATCCTCTGATTTGACGCCAATTGAAGATTAAATCATCAACGGAATAAGGAAGATCTTTAATTGATGCTTTCAGCCAAAGTATTGCTCTAAGCTTGATATTTTCACTAAAGCCAGAGAGACTAGGTTGAGCCTCTGCAAAGACACATTCATTCCTAAGTTTCCAAAGCGACCAGAGAACAATAAGGGGGATGGCTCTCCAAATTAACCTATCAAAATTTTTGAGCTTGATAGTCATCCACCATTGGAGGAGATCATTCACTGATCCTTGAATGCACCAAGAGAACCCCCACTCATTAATTATAGATGACCAAATCAACCAAGAAAATGGGCAATGAAGCAAGATATGGACAGCAGATTCAGGTTCAGAACGACAAAATGGGCAGATGAGAGAAGCAGAAGCATCTAAGATTCCAATTCTGTGCATAAACACTGCTGTCTTGATTTTGTTTTTCCAGGCCAGCCAAGTAAAGAATGAAACCTTAGGGGGGACTGCCCCATTCCAAATATGCTTGCAAATGTTAAAATGAGGCCCTAGGCTAGAGTTAGAGGCAGAGTAGAGAAAGGACACGGAAAATACACCAGGACTTGCAGATGCAGAAGCCCAGATAAGATGATCAGCTCTGCCGATTGACAGAGATGGAGCTGAAGATAGTAGACCAAGTAAGTTAAGTAGACTTGAGACTAGAGCTACCACACCATCTGTCATGCCAAAATTTAATCCTACTCCCATCCCCCACTAGGATTTGGCAGTTATCTATATAGAGATTGTAAATATTTGTGCTATGAATCCCAATAGATAATATGTCCTTCCAAACTCTAGAATGTTTGTAAGAGGACTTTAAAGGTGGATGCCAACTAGCCTCATCAATATTGTATTTGCTACATATAGCTCTCCTCCAAAGAAAGTTTACTTGAGTTCCAAATTTCCACCACCATTTGAGCAGTAGACAAGCATTCATATCTCTTATTCTTCTGATACCCAGGCCCCCTTGGTCCAAGCTTTTGGTTACCTCCCCCCATTTCACTAAATGCACTTTCCTTTTAAGATCATTACTGCCCCATAAAAAAGCTGCCTCAATCTTTTCGAATTCTCTTGCCACACCTTCTGGCATCTTAAACAAAGAAAGAAAGTAGACTGGTAAACTAGATAGAGTAGACTTGATTAGGGTTAATCTACCTGCAAAAGATAGCAGTTTCCTCTTCCACCCTGAGAGTTTAGATCTGATCTTGTCAATCACGGGCTTCCAGGTAGACTTTTTACCAGGATTGGCACCTAGAGGCAGTCCCAGAAATTTCAAAGGAAGGCTATGAACTTTACAGTTAAGGAGATGAGCAAAGGAGAGCAATAAAGAATCAGACACACCGACGCCACACACCACGCTTTTGTGATAATTAATTCTAAGCCCAGAAAGGATTTCAAAGCACCTAAGGATTCTTTTGATAAGTACCATTTGATCCCAATCTGCCTCAGAAAAAAGAATTGAGTCATCTGCAAATTGAAGGTGAGACAAGAGGACATCTTTGGATCCGACATGAACACCTCTAAGAATGCCAAGATTAATTGCTCTGACCAAAAGAATGTTTAACCCCTCAGCCACAATATTGAATAAGAAAGGTGATAACGGATCGCCCTGCCTTAGCCCTCTTTGTGGTGAGAATTCCTTAGTTGGAGCACCATTCACAAGAATGGAAATCCTAACTGTAGACACACAAGTTTTCATCCAAGAGATCCATTTGTTACCAAACCCAAAACTAGATAGCAGAGAGAACAAGAATTCCCAGTTAACCGAATCAAAAGCCTTTTCAAAATCTAGCTTTAAGATCAAACCATTCTTGTTGGTCTTCTTCCAACCATCTACTACTTCATTGGCAATGAACACCCCATCAAGGATGTTTCTTCCACCTATGAAAGCAGTTTGAGTTTCACCAATAATTGAGGATAGAGCTGGCTTCAGTCTATGTGTTAACACTTTTGCCAAAATTTTGTACAAGGAACTTACAAGACTAATGGGTCTGTAATCAGAAAGGCCGGAGGGATTTTCCAACTTAGGAATTAAACTAATGAAAGTACTATTAATCCCATAAGTCAGTTTGCTATTTGCGTGGAAGTCTGCAAAGAATTGCATGATCTCAGGCTTCATAGTCTTCCAAAATTTCTGATAACACAACAGATTGAAACCATCGGGGCCAGGGGCTTTGTTATTATTACAATCCTTAATTGCAGCCAACACCTCAGCTTCACTGAACTCTGCAACAAGATGATGAGAAACATAGTCTGCCTCAATGGTGTTGAATGGCCCTCCCAAGACGGGTCTGTTGGCCCAATCCTCAGTAAACAACTTCTTGAAGTGTTGGTAGACCTCTAATTGAACCCTGCTAGGATCCTCATAAGACACGTCGTTAACTACTATAGAGCTGATCATGTTTCTACTCTGTCTGGTATTAGCAAAAACATGGAAGAATCTAGTATTCTTATCCCCATTTAGAGTCCAGTTCAATCTGGATTTTTGATGCCAAATCCACTCCACCATTCTGAGCAAATGCCACATTTCACCTCTGACCACTCTTCTTCTTGACCTCCCAGAATCATCCAATAGTCCATCCTCTGCTAAGATGTCTAATGTATGCAATTCCGCCTCTAGAGCCTTGAGTTTGGATGTGACATGTCCAAACACTTCAACATTCCATTTTTTTAACTCTGTCTTTAGCTGCTTTAATTTTTGAACAATTCTGAATCCGGCCCACCCTGTAACAGTAGTGCTGCTCCAAATGTTAACAAAGAACTTAGAGAAACTGGGATGGAGAGTCCAGGCATTGAGAAACTTGAAAGGCTTGGGACCCCAGTCTCTTTCATCTTCCATCA